AATTTGGATTAATTTAGGAATAAAATTTGGGATTTTTATTAATTAAGGGAAAAAGTGTCACGACCCTATTCCCTGAACCTGGTCGTGATGGCCCCTCTCGTGAAGACAAGGCCAACCAACTAAACCCAATTTAGCTTTTGTAAACAATTAAACAACATAAAGCAGTCTAAAACATAATTTAATAATATTAAGTAGCAGATAATATCAATAAAATGTGGAAGTACAACCTAAACACAGCCCAAACCGGGGTGTCACTAGTCATGAGCATCTACTAAGGTCTAAATACAACTGACAAAGTCTGAAATGTACTAAGTACAGACTAATAGAATGAAGAGAGAGAAAAGCAATGTTGCGAACGCCGGCAGCTACCTTGCTAAACTCCAATGACTCTGCCTTCGATCAACCAATACCCGTTACCGGGTCCAGAAAATACCTGAATCTGCACACAAGGTGCAGGGAGTAAAGTGAGTACTACGACTCAGTGAGTAATAGTCATAAATAAAGACTGAGTGATAAGAAATCACGAAAAGTACATCAACATGTTGTATGGAAGTGGTACAAAACCAGTAAGAAAGCAATGAAGTTGTGAAATCTCTTAAAGCATCTTAGCTCAGTTTAAAACTTCTTCAAAAATGGCTTTTCAACAGTTAAGCAATTGAATGCAAAACAACTAGAATAGATAAGCATAGAGAATCCGCCCCTCGGGCACAGTTACACAACTAAACAGGTAAATGACAGGTAAATGAACAGATAAACACATAAAGGTTCGCCCCTCGGGCTATAACTCAACAACTCTGCCCCTCGGGCAATATCTCAGATCAATACCAGCCCCTCGGGCAATCACGTAAAATAATACCAGCCCCTCGGGCTATATCTCACATCACAATGGGTAGCCGCGCTCACTGGGGGTGTGCAGACTCCTGGAGGGGCCCCTTACGGCCCAAGCGCAATATCAAGCCATCTCGTGGCATCAAATCTAGGGCCTCGGCCTCATATCAATCAAGCCACCTCGTGGCGTACATATCTCAGGCCCTCAGCCTCAAATCAATATCAGTGTTTCCTCACAACATAGGCCCTCGGCCTCACTCAGTCAAAAATCCTCACAAGCCCCTCGGGCAATGGTAAAACAATGTTTCTCAGCCCAAACATCATTTAAAATATCATTTAAGTCTCAAAACTGAGTAAAAATGGCTGAATAGTAAAATAGTGGAAAATAACATGACTGAGTTCAAGTAGCAAGTCAAAACAGTGAGGAAATATCAATAAAAAGCCCCGAAGGGTTCAAATAGTTGGCACGAAGCCCAAATATGGCATTCAGCCCAAATTATAATGACAGTAAATAAGTTTCAGTCAAATACGTGGCAAAATCATCAATCGGGACGGACCAAGTCATAATTCCCAATAGTGTAAGACCCCACGCTCGTCAACAAGCGTGTGTCTCACCTCAATATAGCACTACGATGTGCAATTCGGGGTTTCAAACCCTCAAAACATCATTTACAACCATTACTCACCTCGAACCGATCAAATCTCTAGCTCGTGACGCCTTTGCCCTTCGAATCAACCTCTACTCGCGTCGAATCTATCCACATCAGAAAGGGACGTCAAAATAGGCTAAGGGAACGAAGCCCAAGCGAAAATAATCAACAATTAGCACAAATCCCGAAATTACCAAAACCCGACCCCCGGGCCCACGTCTCGGAATCTGATAAAATTAACATAAATGGAATCCTCATCCTCTCACGATTTCATACATATCAAATTTATCAAAATCTATGGTCACTCAAATCCTAAAAATCCACTCTCCAATTTCAAGCCCAAAATTCCCAACTCTTCCTCTAATTTCCCACAAATTTTCATGATTATACAATGATATAATCACCATAAACACAAGGTATAAAGCCCAAGTAGCTTACCTCTGTGGATACACTTGATCCCCTCTTGAAATCACAGCTTGGAGCTCCAAAATCGCACAAAAATGGTAAACAAAAGACTGAAAATCGCAAAGGGGCATTTTTATACATTCTGCCCAGTACTTTCGCACCTGCGATCCCATAAGCGCATCTGCGCTTCCGCTTCTGCGGAAAAACATCCGCTTCTGCGAATTTTACTTATGCTACCAGGACACGCATCTGCGGTCGCATCACCGCTTCTGCGGTACCGCATTTGCAGTCATTCATCCGCTTCTGCGGAAATCACTTACCAGCCAAAACTCACATCTGCGATCACAACCCCTGCATCTGCGACATCGCAGATGCGGCCACCCTGCCGCTTCTGCGGTCGCTGCTCATCAGGCCCTTTTTTGCTTTTGCGACCAAGCCCTCCGCTTATGCGGCACCGCACCTGCGGTCCCCAATCCGCAGGTGCGAAAATACCAGAAGCAGCAATTCAACAGCTGCAACTAAAATCCAAACTTCTCCGCTTAACCATCCGAAATTACCCCGAGGCCTCCGAGACCTCAACCAAAAGCACAGACATATCCCATAGCCTTATTCAAACTCGTCCCAACTTCCGGAACGCTCAAAACAACATTAAAATACCAAAATCACATCAAATTCAAGCCTAAGATTCCAAATTCTTCCGAATTCCGCTTTTGATCAAAAACCCAATCAAACCACGTCCGAATGACCTGAAATTTTGCACAAACATCCGAAATGCCACAACAGAACTACTGCAACTTCCGGAATTCCATTTCGACCTCTATATCAAAATCTCACCTATCAACCGGAAAACGTCGAAATCTCAATTTCGCCAATTCAAGCCTAAACCTTCCGCAAACTTCCAAAATGCATTCCGATCACGCTCCCAAGTCCCAAATCACTTAACGGAGCTAACAAAATCATCAAGATTCCGATCCGATATCATATACGAACAAGTCAAATATTGGTCAAACCTTTCGAATTTCAAGCTTCAAACTGGGAACTGTTCTTCCAAAAAAGGTCGGGGATCGCGTGGGGCGGCTAAGCAACAGCTACAAAAAAGGTAAAGGCATTACAAAACACGGAAGCGGAATATGAGTAAGTATTTGGAAAAGGACTTCACTTACGATTAAAGTTTCATCTCTCCGGGAACGGCATTTTTCCCTTAGGGATGATGTCCGATGCCCTCACTCTAATAAACTGGCTCATCCAACCTCGATCTTTATCCTCGTCGTTACTAGCAAAGGACTTTTTTGATTGACGTTGAAGCTTGATGAGCCCTCGAAACAATTGAGGCCGATACAGCCGAATGAGATGGTTGAGGGTAAACTCTAATCCCTCGGCCTTGCTGGAGAAATAGCGCAGCATAATCACGAAGCGCCAAAAGGAGGGATGGATCTGGCCAAGGGTAACCTCGTACCTTTTGCAAAAATCAATCACAACCGGATCGAGGGGACCCAATGTGAAGGGATAAGTGTAAACACTTAAGATCCCCTCCACGTGAGTAGTGATGCTTTCCTCGAGGTCGGGGATCTGTACCACGACCTCGTCTCCCCAGCCGCAGTCCCTCTTCATGGCCTTAAGGTGCTTCTCTGATATCGAACTGGTATATCGAGATACATGTTCGCATCGGCCTGGGATATTAGGGGGATTTTCAATATTAAAATCCTTCTTTATCACATAGGGGCCGGGAATGATTTCGTGAAGGGCCGGCGCCACCAGTTTGGCCGGCCGGGAAGCAGAAGAAGATGATGTTTTCTCTTTTCAGGGGACTGTTTTAGAAGTTTTGGCCATAGTTTTGAGCTAAGAGATGCAGAAGGTAGCGGAGCGTGGTGTTTTCTGAAAGCTTGGCGTTTTTCGACACTTAAAGGGGCGGTGGAAGCAGATGATGAGAGAAAGGGATGAAGAGGAAAGTTGTTCAGAGTAAATGTAAAGAAGAAGTAAAGTTTTTAATTTAAAGAAGGAGCCCCGTATTTATAGATGAGCAGCGACGGTTCGGCGATGCTAGTGGCCGACCATTACTATCATGCATTTATTGTTTTGGGGAAGCGAACCGACGGGACGTTTCAGTCACTTCGAACGCCTACATCACCGGAATGACATCATCATTAGAGACTCCGAAATATCAAGGTTCAAATCGTTTCTTATCATCTTACTCTAAGAAACGCGAAGACTATTTGTATACGGTCGAAGTCAGGTATGCCCGATTTCTCGAGCTCAAGGGATCGCCTTAAGCCCGAGTTCAGGTAAGGTCGAGTCCGAGCTCGATGGACCAGACTCGAGCTCAAAGACAGAGTGCAATGCCGAGGATCGAAGTGTGCGATGAGTATCGAAGCCGAGTATGCTTAACCCCGAGATAATGGCGTTACGGATTTGTAACAAAATGAGCAAAATTCCTGCCACATCCCCAAGATCATGGCGTAAATCACGGAATAGATTTGTTGAATCCGTATTAAGCGGTTAGACAATTGTCCCAATAAGATTCTTTACTATAAATAGAAATATACCTTATTAGAGTTCCCCTATTATATAAAAGGTACCCCAATCATTTGTAAACATCATCTAATCATTGGCAAAGAATATGCTCTCTTACTTTTTCACTCATTGTTCATCAGAATTGTACTTTAGCTTTATTATTCTTGCTTTATTGTTCTTGATCCATCTCGAGGTCACTTTGGCTCGAGGTCGATACTGCCTAGCAACACTGGTTTGATTTACTCATTTCTTTCATTTATACGTTATACTTCTTGATTATTAATTAGTGTTGAACTAAATCACATATCTTAAAAACTATAAATCAAATTTAATTATTACTCGTATTTTCGAGGTAAACACCTAGCCATGGTCAATAGAGAAATGGCGCTTGGCATGATCCAAACTGAACACGTCCCATCAAACCACTTTGATCATTCTTCAACATGGCTCTCATCTGGACAGCCTGATCGAAGAATGCTTTCCTTGTTTCTTCACCCCGATTAGCCAAAGATCAGCAACAAAATTGAATTTCCTGTAACAGTGCTATAATAATGAACCTGCCTTGTGTACATAAATGTTGGATTTGGTTATTGACATCCTCGACTCTGCCACAAAACACTACATTCATTTCTTACCATCTTTACAATTACAAGAGTCAGATTCAATGACAAAATCAAGAAAACCATACTGGACTCACCGTCCAAGCCCTCGTTAACATTGCCCTTGCTTCTGCTAGATTATTAGTGCGGCAACCAGAGTAATCTGCAAAAGCCATACCATTTCCCCGGCTTGTTCCTTGCAATTCCACCAGCATCTGAATTCCCAGGTTACATTTAAAGCAACAATCAATATTGAGCTTAAACCCCCACCTCCACTGGCTGAGTGGTTTCTCCCAACTTAACACATTCACTTAAGTTCTGTTTCACCATGTCTACCATGTTATAGACTTCTATCCAATAGTCATAAAAGGTAAGAGAGGGGAATGAAGAAATTTTAATAACTTCACCAAATAACAGACCTGATTAATAATTTTTGCAGCAGTAACAGTTCTCCCCCAAATTTTACACTACTTTTCCATGTCTGCCAATACACTATTGAAGGTAAACATTGCTCGATGGTTGTGTCCACCATTTCGTTTCTTTTGCTCAACCACCATTGTATCAAAGTATATCTCAGATTACCTTTGGCAAAAGGTACACCAAATGAATTATTAAAATAATCCCACACAATTGCAAGCAATTTAATTATCTCCTAATAAACGATTCCTAGTCTCTACATCAGGTTACACTAGCCTATCTAAGGTAAAAGTTAAAGGGTACTTTAGCCACAATAAGTAAAACAAATGAATGGTCAATGGCTCAAAGAATTGGATTTGAAAAATTGGAACATGTAATAATAAGCACCACTGTTTTTCAAATTGAATAATTTGTTGCTATAGTACAAGATGATTAGAAAAAGAAATTCAAAATTGCTAAGCAAGTGAACAAACTTTAGGGACCTTTTCATTTTTTTTAAAAAGTAAACTAGGGACACCTAGGAGATATAAGAAACAAAGATGAAATCACATGATTACGATCCAAGCTAGTAGGTCATGTATATTTCTGAATCAAGAAAGATGAAATAACTAAAGAAAGATGTGATCAATTAAACATTTTTTTTTGATGATCGAGAAATCCTCGAGACCTAGTGGCACACGGCTCAAAACTGGATGGATAATGAACCCACCCATCTACCCTTCTCCACTTATATACCAGGTTATTGTCTGTGACAAGATTCAAACCCATGACCAGTGGCTAACTCATACATTAACTCATACATTACGTGTTGTATCCTTGCCACTAGACCAAAGCCTTGGCAACATTTTTCATGTAATATCAGCAGTAAGAAATGGAGCTTCAATAATCTTGAAGTTATGAGTAGGACTTTGAAACCTCATCACTGCAGAACTGACAGAAAGTCAATCATACACTAAGGCCCCGTTTGGCCATACATTTTGGCAACGTTTTTTCAAATATTTTTTGAAAACATTGTTTGTTCATAGATTAATGATCTATTTTTGAAAAACTTCTGAAATTATTTTTGAAGTTCCCAAAATCTAGTTTAGGGTAGATTTTGGGTGAAACTTGTTCTCCCACTTACAAAACTTCAAATTTTTTTCAAATAAAATGCATGTCCAAACATAATTTCAACTTCCAAAAATTATTTTTCAAAACTACTTCAAAAATTATTTTTTCAAGTTTCAACTAAATCTATGTCCAAACGCTAGCTAAGTTTACGAGGTTCCAACTGAAATTCGCACATGAAGTGGCTGTTAATTAGTGAGATCTAAGATTGAATAAAAAGGGCAATCCCCTTGAATATTAATTATGACTAAATTCATGTCAAAAGTCAAAAAGGAGAACAAAAATCCCCTTTTTAATTCGTGTCACAAAAATAAAAACTTTGATCAGTTTTGGGTGTCCCCCTTTTTGTCTCACTATTTAGGATTTAGGGGGCCAGCTATAACACTCAAAATAGTGCATTTCCATTCTCTGGTAATTGCTATATAGAATAAAATAGCATCTTTTAGATACGAATGGAGTATTTCTACCCAAAACTTTTGAAATGAACTTTAAAAGACTTAATCTTTTGCTTAACTTTTTCCAATTTTTCTTTCACTAGCTGTAGTTCTGAAAACTAAAAGGTAAACAAAACTAGAAATATTGAAGAAAGCTGCGGCTCAGATATGTATTCAAGACAGAGAGAGACCCGGGTTTGGCTTCAAGATTGAGGCATGATTGCTTGGAACTCATGGTTTTGATGCTTATTGAAAACACAGACACGCACGAACAATTCAACACCAGCGTGGTGCAACACTACAACAAAATGCTTTCTCTGAAGGCCGCATGCTAGATCATAACCCTGCTTTGAACCAAGAAAAGGTTTGTTTTCTAAGCAAATTGAGGCTCGAATCTATCTTAGAACAAGGAAAAGAGAAACCTTAACACAAACCACATTGAGTTGCCAAGCCAACAGGTCTGGTCCTCTCCATGCAAATTGATTAGCCCAGAAAAGAAGGTACTAGAAGTATCATCACAGCCCCATTTACGTGTACTCCAAGCAAAAGCTGTTCGAACTCAAAAGCCAAGGGAACATAGAAGATACGCACAAAGGCCATCAAAGACAGACAAAAACAAAGTTACAACTCAGCAGGACTAAAATTGATTCTTTTCAATTAAAACTATTATCACATAGAAAAGATCTTTTTTTTAAAAAAAAAAATAAACATGAACAACCTCTCTTAAGAAAAATACTCATTTTGACACCTATATTGCCTCATTCTTTTATTCGACATCTGAAGATTAAGAAAAAAAAAACCGGTGCAATACGTGTATTGAATAAGAAAATGCAGGTGAACACAAAAATGTGAGGCTCAGATCTGCAGAAAAGATCAGGCAAAGAAAAGTTAACCACGCCATGGCTGCAAAAACATCATTTGTATGCGAAAGAGAAAACAACTTAAATAACTGGCCAATGCCATTTCAGGAAGGGGAAAAAAAGCATATTGAGGCTGAGTCACGGCAGATAGAGAGGTTTAGGCATGGGTTCATCTGAACAGTAGCTTTGACTCAAACCCTCTACATGTGTTAAAAAGTTTACTAAATAAGTACAAATACTTGATTTTCAACACAGTATATCAAATGAGTTGTAAAATCTTGAACTCGAACCCACAAAGTTCAAATCCTAGATCAGCTTTGCGCTTAGATGTGCTATGATAAGGAAAAACAGAAGCTAGCCATGCCATGGCTGCAAAACACCAGTTACACATGAGTGAGAAGAGTCTCAATCACAGGCCATACAGGGTTGCCACGCCAAGATATGGGGCGGGTAATCTCCATGCCCGAATTAAATAGCCCAGATACAAAAAATCATCATCACTGCCTCTTTTACGAGCTTTCAAAGCCATGAGACAGACTGATGATCTGAAGGTGTGTTTTTGAGTACACATAAAGGGTGCAAAAACGCAAGGAAACCCAGAAACTGAAGTGTGCTCTCTTTCTCTCTTTCTTTTTTAAATTGGTTTGTTAAACATGGAGAATCATAGACAAAGCCGAGAGGGGAAACCACCCTTGAAAGAAATCCCATTCTGTAGCCTCGTTCTGGGGGTTCGAAGTCTCCCACATCAAATTAAGGAGGAGATATTTTCTTTAGAAAATTGAGGCTCAGATCTGTCATGATAAGGCACAAGAGAAGCCGACCACACCGTGGCTGCAAAACACCAGTTGCATGCGAAAGGAGTATCAATCACAAGCCATACTGAGTTGCCACGCCAAGATATGGTCACGTTACTCCATGCCCGAATTACTTAGCCCGGATATAAGAAACATCATCATCACTGCCTCTTTAATGAGTTCTCAAAGCCACGAGGAGACGGATCATCGATCTGAAGGTCGTAGTATAGTTGTGCGATTACACCCAAATCCATACTGACCAAGTAATTACTTGGCCATACAAACAATAAAAAATGCACACAATTACACCCTAAATCCAATTACAAGGTGGCTGTCCAAACAGAGGGTGCAAAAATGCAAAGAAACCCAGAAATGGAAGTGTTGTCTCTGATTTTTACTAACTCTTTAAGGGCGGCTGTTGGTTTGTTGAAAAGGGACAATCATAGACAAAGCAGAGAGGGGCAAGCACCCTTGAAAGAAATCCCGTACTCTCTGTTGCCTCATTCTCGCCATTTCTGGGCTAAGGGAATTAGCTTAGATGGAGGATCATATAGTGAATTCCAATTACTGATAAAAAATTGGATTTCAAACCTACAAGCATTAAAACTTTCAACAAAAAGGCGTGGGTAATATTTCCACATCAATATACAACAACAAACCAACAACAAACCAAGTATATTCCCATAAGTGGGGTCGGGGGGATTTCCACATCAATATGGAAAAGATAATAATTTCTTTAGCAAATTGAGGCTCAGATGTGTTGTAATGTCAAAGACAAGAGAGGCCAACCACACCATGGCTGCAAAACACCGGTTGCATGTGTGAGAGAGAGAAAGTCTCAATCACAGGCCATACCGGGTTGCCACGCCAAGATAAGGGTCCGGTTATCTCCATTCCCGGATTAGTTAGCCCAGATATTGAAAAAATCATCATCACTGCCTCTTTAAAAGATCTGAAGGCTGCGTAGTTGTTGTATAGTCATGAGAGTATACATTAAAAAGGTGCAAAATGCAAAGAAACCGAAATACTGAAGTGCTATTATATGCCTCTCTCTTTCTTTTTAACGGGTTGTTGGTTTGTTGAAAAAGGGAGGATCATAGGCAAAGCAGAGAGGGGCAACCACCCTGTAAAAAATCCCATACTCTCTGCTGCCTCATTCTCGCCATTCCTGGGCTAAATAGTTCATTTAGATGAGAGCTATTAACCGAAGAGACCTCACAAGTCTGCATTTAAAAGAATATCTCAACTTCAACTTAATATTTGTCCAAACGCCTACTAATGTTCTTCAGCAAATTGAGGCTCATACGCATATAATGACAAGGCAAGAGAGAAAACAGCGACGACATGGCTGCAACACCGGTTGCATGAGAGAGAGAGAGAGACTAGTTTCCAATCACTGGCCATACCGGGTGCCATGCCAACATGCGGGTCGGGTTATCTCAATGGTCAATAATGAGCCCAAATAGAAAGATTCATAAGCATCATCACAGTCCATTTCTGTAGTAAAACGCATCATAATGGAACAGTTTCAAGTTTCCATTAACAATGAGACAGCGAGAGTAAACTGAAAGAAACATGCAAAGGACCATGAGCAGAAAGACTGAAGATCTGAAGGCTGTTGAATTGTCGCGGTATACTTGTATATTGGGGAAATTTCACAAATAGTCATCGAGAAAACCAGAAACTGAAGTGCTATGTTTCTCTTTCTTTCTCTTAAGGGCTGTTGGTTAGTTGAGAAGGGGGAGAATCATAGACAAAGCAGAGAGGGGCAACCACCCTTGAAAGAAATCCCATATTCTCTGTTGCCTCATTCTCGCCATTTTCTGGGCTAATCCAACAAGAGAACTTTTAACCGAAAGCCCGTGAGTCTGCATTAAAAATCTGACAATTCCTTTTTCATCAAAAGGGAAAGTAGTTTTCACTTTTTTTCACCATTGTCCTTTTCTTTCTCCAGGCATATCTAAAAGTTATTTCCATCTATTTTTAGATATCTATCTAGAAGTGACACTCATGAGTACTGTTACGCGGCGCCTTCCTGAGATTACTTGGAAGGGCGACGTAAGGCTAGGCAACTGATGTCAGTGCAGTTGCTGTCCGCCAACTGAGGTCCCCTCCGTACGCTAGACGAGATTGTCAGTGCCGTACGGGAAAACCAATGTCAAGAGCAATTGAGAGAACAGAAATGAGAATTTAGAATGAAAGAAAGCTTGATTGCATTAATGAAAGCTATTACAGAAAAGCAACGCGGTGTCGAGGGGGAGAGACACCAGTACAGAGAATTGCTTGCTTGCTAGAAAGTTTTGATTGCTTGATCCCCCTAATAGTACTTAAAAAAAATAATCCAAAGTTACAAGACTAGACTTGACTAAGCTAGAGAAACATAATGGAAGTACATGAAATAAAACTACTCTATATTTACAATGAAAATGACTTAGTTTTCTATAAGGCAGCAGCAGGTCCGTTGTCAGCAGCAGTGTCTTTGGCATCACGGTCTGCGCGCGCGGCGTTGTCTGCGCGCGCGGCGCTGTTGGCTTCTGCCTGCGGCTTGGCGCTCGCGAGGGATATCGGTGGGGCGATAGAGGCACCTTCGCGCTTGTCACTTGGCGCGGCCAAGACCACGGGGCCGTCCGTGGCGCTAGGCATTGGGAGGTTCGCTAGGACGCCACGGGGCGCGCCCAAGGGGTCATGGGGCATGGCTGGAAAGCCGCCCATGACATTCTCCCCCACCTGAGTTGGCGACGTCCTCGGCGCCTTACTTGCAAAATAATCTTCAATGAGGCTCTTGTAGGCTTTGAGGTTTGTTCCCCTCTCCCAAGTATTCTCTTCTGCATCACAGCCCTGCCATTTCACCAAAAACTCTTGGTGATCTTTCCTTGAGGCATGAATCACTCTGTCATCAAGGATAGCTTCAACACGCCTTTTCCCGGTTGAATTGGGACCTCGAATACTGGGTATTATGAGCTGGCTCCTTGAAGGATCCTCCGTGTCTTCCCGAAAAGGTTTCAGGAGACTGACATGGAAGACAGGATGAATTTTCCACCAAGCTGGGGTATCCACCCGGTATGCAACCTTCCCAATACGCTTTTCAATGGACAAGGGTCCAATGTATTTTTGCAATAGGCGAGGGTCATGGACCCCTGCAAATAAGTACCGCTTTGGAATTTTGACCATCACTTTGTCTCCTACTTGATATTCAACAAAGCGACGATTCTGATCAGCATGCCTCTTCATCCGCTTTTGGGCTTTGACAAGGTAGCTCCGCACTATCTCCAAATTCCGCCTCCACTCTTTTGAGAAGCTGGCAGCTCGAGGAGATTTAGCCATGTTTGGTGCATTCACAGTGTGTGGGAGTAGCGGTTGCTGTCCGGTAACAATTTCAAAAGCGCTTTTGTTGGTACTAGAGCTCTTTTGTGAATTGAAACACAGTTGAGCAGCATCCAGAAGCTTCACCCAATTCTTCTGCGATCCGGTTACAAAGTGGCGGAGATATTCCTCCAACATACCATTGAACCGCTCCGTCTGGCCATCAGATTGCGGATGAAAACTTGAGCTATGACTCAATTTTGACCCAAGGCACTTGAAGAGTTGGGTCCAAAAGTTGCTAGTGAAGCGTGAGTCGCGGTCACTAACAATGTCTTTGGGCATGCCCCAATATTTGACGACATGAGAGAAGAAGAGTCGAGCTGTATCTTCTGCTGATATATATTGTGGGGCTGCAATAAAGGTGGCATACTTGGAAAATCGGTGCACCACAACCAAGATGGTTGTGAGATCTCCGACCTTGGGCAATCCGGTGATGAAATCCAGGGAAACGCTTTCCCAAGGTCTCTTTGGGACCAAAAATTGAAAAAGTTCTTATTGAAAAACTCATTTTCAAAAAAAAAATTCAAAAGATTTACAAAAATCCATGAACAAATACGTTTAAAAAAAACAAATATAATAATATAACAAAATATTTATTATCGGTTCTAAGAATGCATGTGTGACGTCATGCATTTACAGTATCTATTTTGGTTTTGCATGTACTAAGAGCGCTTGGACGTAAGATTATTTGGTTGGCCATAAAATACTCAATTTTCGCTTTAAGATAAATTTTAAAATTTTTCGAAAATTTTAAAATTTAAAAGATTTATTTTTCAAAATTTTCATTAAGATCACTCACAAAACTTTAAAAATAACCCAAAATTATATTCGTGTCCAAACATCAACTCTAATTTTCAAATACCATTTTCACTTGAATTTTTTTTTTTAAATTTTATAATTCTTATGTCCAAACGCACACTAAGTAGGTGTTTGGACATAAAAATAACTATTTTTGAGAAAAAATAATATTTGAAATTAAGTTAAAAATAATATTTAGAATATAAAATTATATTTAGAGATGCATTTCACTTTATAAAAAAAATGTAAGCGGAAAAATAAAAAATTTGTGAAAATTTTGAAAAAGTTATTATAGAAAAACTCATTTTCAAAAAATTTACAAAAATTCATGAACAAATACGTTTTGAAAAAAAATAATCAAAATAATAATAATAAAAAAAAACTATGGGCAAACGGTTCTAAGAAATGCATGTGTGACACGACATGCATTTACAGTACATAATGAAATTAATTTCTGTTATTTGATTATTAGAAAATAATTTTTCTCACATAGAGTCGTACGGTAGATTATGCTTTTGATTTCAGAAGTATCATAACCATACCACATAAGAGCTCAATCTTCGTCAAAATCCTCATTCTTTTGGTTTGATGCTTAAGCTAAAACTTAAAAGAACAAAAAGTAGTTGAAATTCAAAGAAGTAGTAGTTTTAGGCCAATTCACAGTACTTAACTAAGAGGCTCAGATCTGCAAAGACAGATCGCGGAAAAGAGAGGCGACCACGCCATGACTGCAAAATCACCGGTTGTATGCAAAGAAAAAACCTTCAAATCGCCGGCCGTCCGGTGATTTGCCAGGCCAAGATACGGGTCGGATAGTCTCTATGCCCGATCCAGTTAGCCCAGAATCCGGATAAAATATCATCACTGCCTCAATTGTTACGTATCAAAAAAGAGGAACTAAAATCACAGAAACAAAGACAGAGAAAGAGAGATCTGGCTGTTGTTGTTGATTGATCCTCAAGAAATGATTGTATAGTAGTATATTTCCATTAGTTCAAGGGTTGTTGATTTTTGTTTTAAAAAAAAAAAGTTAGAAAGGAAAATCATTGGCTAAACAGAGAGGGTAACCACCCTTTGAATATAAACTCCAAACTCTCTGTTTTTGCCTCGTTTCGTTTCTGGGCTAACTTTCTTTGCTGATGAGCACTTTTTGTGTTCTCTTGTTATAACTACGCTCTTGCTTGGAAGAATCTAGAAGGGGTTAAGTTGCAATTTATCCATAAATTTAAGAATATTATTTTATACTCGGTAAATTTTATTCTTTGATTTAGTTATCTTATTATTTTTGAATATGTTTTTCTTGAATCGGGATCTAGCGAAAACAGATTCTCTATCTCACGCAAGGTAAGGTCTGTATATACTCTAATTTCTTCATACCATACTTGTGGGATCACTAATATATTGTTGTTGTTATTATATTATTGGTGAATTTTAATAAGTGATAGCTAATAGTAAGTAACTATTTTATCAGATTTCAATTACTCCTCCTGGCCCAATTTATATAAAATCGAATTTCGAAGGTCAAACACGAATTATCTTTTAACTGTAAATTTTTATATGCCTTTAAATTATTTTAAATTATTAATTATTATAACTTATATTAATATTTTTTACGTAATTTTCAAATATGTAAATTTTATTTGAAAAAACAGAAAAGTCAATGCATAAATGTATGGTCAAACTTAAAAAGTTTGAATCTCAAAAAGGCAAAAATACCACATAAATTGGGACAAAAAGTGCAGTACTCCCTTCTGTCCACAATAAGTAATCATTTTACGTTTTTATTTTGGTAAAAAATAAGTATCAATTTACATAATCAAGAAAGAATTACTTTTATTTTTTTAAAATGTACCCTTATTTACATATTCTAATGCATCAAGATAATAATTAATTAAAATTAATTTAATAAATATTTTTTTCTTTAAGAGTTCGTATTTTTTAAGTGGATATGCCTAAAATAATGATCACTTGATGTAAATCAGAGGGAGTAATAATTATCAAGATCTTGTCTCTGAGTACTAAATAAGTAGTTTGATTGTTATAAATATTTTTTCACATCTTTACTGCATATAATTTAGACTCTTTATTAAACAACATTGGGACATGGTCTCTTGATTCCCATTTCCCATAATATTTTTTTGACTTTTCGAGGCAATTGTCGAGATAGCATTTCACGAGGGACAGATATTTTTTTCGGATAGGAAGTTCCTTTCCCCCCCC